CTCAAAAAACAGCCACACAATCTCCAACATCAACCCTGATTCCTTGGAAGAGCTTGGTCTGACTCCTCAAGTAGAAGCACTTCCGGAAAAGAGCCACATTCCTTGACCCCCAATCTCCAACAGCAACCATGAATCCTTCTGAGAGCTTGGCCTGACTTCCTCAAGTAGAAGGTCTTCCATAAATGCCACATTCCTCAACCCCTAATCTCCAACATCAACCCTGACTCCTTGGAAGAGCTTGGCATGACTTCCTCAAGCACTTCAAAGAATGAGCCACATTCCCTAACCCCCAATCTCCAACAGCAACCTGTGAATCATTCTGAGAGCTTGGCCTTGCCTTGCTCGCTTTTTCTGCACTGCAACATTACTGCTTGCTTTGTCAAGGAACACCTTTCAGTCCTTTCCTGACAATGTTGCTCAGAGAGGGGAAATGTCCATTCCTACTATGCAGCATCCCATCTCTCGTCTGGACACCACAGTCTCTCACTCAGAAAGCAACCACATGCTCCGTACTGACTCACCTGAGCCGTCAGCACTACACAGGCTTCAGACCATCTTCAGTCCATCTCCTTCTTACAGCAGCACAGGTCCGCTAATCTCAAAGGCACCCCTGCGCCCCTGCAGCACAGCCGCCGCTTCCACTAGGATGGCGTACAACGAGCTGAGAGAGGGCGCCCTTGGTAAAGGTCCTCCTTTTGTTAGAATGCTCTTTCCAGTCTGCTACAGCCCCTACCCCTGTCAGTGTCTACGTAGACTGCTATATCCAGTAGCAGATACTTCAAACCTTACTCGGTAAACTCCAGCTCGAATCTTACACTGTAGACTTCAGCCTTCAGGCTGAGTCTACCGAACTGTACACTGAATCTACACTGGCTACCGTATTAAACTGTAGATTTGTTACTGAAGGTATGTTGTAATGAATATTACCGTATATAGTAACTCGCAGAGCCACTGGGTTAACCGATGACGGAATGTACGGGCACTGTGACCAGCAGGCTAAGGACACGTGGAAAATGAATAAACGCTCGCGGAAAACTCGCGTGGTTGTAAGTCTGCGAAACCAAGCCGCGTGATTATAAAAAAACGCTCGCGAAATATTCGCGCCGCGCGCGGTGTAACATGCTAGTTAGAGCCACGTGACAAACAAAAAAGCCCGCGGATTTAGTAACTGCAACCCCCAACCACGTGGCTTGTAGGGTGCAGCCTAGAGGACAACGCTGCTGAAATGTTCGCACACGCGCCAGAATTTGCGGACGCCCAGCAACTTTTGCTTCAAGTTGGACGGGAAGAGTCAGGGGCACACTCCTTTGTTCAGCACAACCTTCAAGCAGAACTCGGATGAGAAGGACGAAAAGCAGCCATAGCGAGCTTCAGAGAAGCAACCAAGGATGAAAGTCAAGCAATGTCAGGAGGGTTTAGCAGCGGCGGTCCTGTCAGGCATCTAGATGCAAAGCAGCCTTGGACTAAATCGTACGCTGAGAATAATGCGAGAGATGGCGACTTGGAAGTCATTTGGATTTGAGTGTTGACAAGACACGAAGTAAGCGCTCTAGTCTTCAAATGCTCTTCGTCCTACTAAATGGAATTGCCGTCCGTAAATAAAGATGCAATCATGATATGTCCAAGTCATACGTCGAATGACGTGCATGGTTCAACATTCTCTTATTTACTGATTGTTGATCGCCTGACCATGGGATGACGCCTATTGACAGCATGTTGTCCCTCCATCTGCAACCAGGAGCGATTCTCCCACTCGGGTACGATGCCCGGCCTATTCAACGGTGCCCCAACTTTTTCAACCCGAAAAAGGGATTGACTGAAGTCGCTGAACTTAACGTCTTCTTCAGCGACTGTTGTGATCAACTTCTTTACGAGCTCAAGTGCTCGAGGGGGAACGGCGGCCAGTTCGACAAAGATGGCCCTTGCTTCGTCGATGAAACGATGCCCGTGCAGCTCCACGACACTTTCGAACCATCTTGATGTCACCAGGACGGACTTTCCCATGACCAGCCTCAGGATTGGATAGACGACGATCCAGGTCTGACAGTGTATGTCAAGTACACTCTCCTGCACAATTAGGGTTTTGCCTTCGTTTGCAATCTTTCCGTTGTGAAAGGAGCTTAGAACGGACTCCGTGACGGGCCCTCGCAGTGCCCGCGTGAAGAGCCGGGCCTCGTTGTATGCCGCTTCGCGCACAGGAACCTGCAGGACGATCTGGTACAATGAACGCTGTTCTGAATGGAATCTGCGACGGAGGCCACGAATCACCTTGGTGATGTCAGTAGGTGCGAGATTGAAAGCTTCGACGCACAAATAGAGAGTGGCGGGAGAAGGGACGACTGTCAGGATCATGCACCCGATATGCCCGTCGGTCAAGACCATGACGTACAACGGTTCCTTTGGGCCCCGCAGGTATGTCGCAAAGCCGTCTTTCAAATAGTTTTGAAATAGCGGACCTTCCCCCAAAAATCCCCCTGTTCTTATGTCTATCTTGTTCCTAGAGTCGCAGTAGCGGCCGAGAATGTCGTCTGCCACGTACGTCACTCTGCTCATGTACGTCCCTTGATCCGCGGCCGGTATACCGGCTGAATAGTACGTGCTCCGCGTGATGATAGGGCGCTTTCGGGCGACATTTCCTGCTTTCATATCCATGCGGCTGATCGCATTGAATCTCGAGAGGTTCTCGTCCGTAGCAAAGTCGGAGTCAATGGCACTCCTTCGAATATTGCCCAGCATCAGGATCTCATCATTTGTCAAGTCCCGCTTCAACAGCGAGCCCAGTACAGGCAGAGTGAACATACCCTCCTGATACCGGGGGTGCCCCCAGCGCTTCCGAGGAGGACTTTTGGTGATCTTGCCGTCGGCGATGCGTCTCAGCAAGTCTTTCTTGTTGGTGGCAGCATGCCTCTTCCAGAACCACCCAAACATCCTGAGTCTAGACGGTATGATACGGTTAGAATATAA